CGCCTCGTTGTCCTTTCTCTCAGCTTCGTCGGATTCTTCATTGTCGTCGTGTTCGTCTTATTAGCATTCTTCTTCGTAGAAATATGATTACGATTACGAGTCTTACTATTATGCTTATCATTATTAGTGGTATGGATATTGTTGTTACTATTAGTATTCATATAGTAAGTTTCAGCAATAGCATTCCAGTTTTAATATGCTTTCTCTTATTATTATTATTATTAGTGTCATTAATATTAGCATTACTATTATTACTATTAGTACTATTGTTAATCATACTACTACTACTTAGTGTTACCATTGTTCTCACTATTCTGGGTATATGGTGTTATTGTTCTTAATAGTAGTCGTCTTACTCCCCCACGTGTTCCCCGAAGGGCTTTTACAACATATGGGAAACATATAGTCCGATAGCTTGGCCGAGCCATGACCACAACGTTCGGCCATTTAGGCACTTCCAAATCGCCGTAGGCGTCTTCGATACTGTACTGGAATCGCCCCCTGATCTCCTTACACGACCCCCTCCCCCTCCTCACCACTCCTCGCATGTTCCCCATCGCCCCTAGCGGGCAGCCTCCATGAGGCGAAGGTTGCGCTCGTGCTCCACTGCCTGCACGATGAGCCTGCGGCCAGGGGTGCTGGAGCACGGCGAACGAAGAGGAGGACACGGAATGCCTGCCAACTCGCATCTCGGCGGAGTGGGACGAGGGAGGAGAGGAGGGAGGAGGAGAAGGGAACAATGAGGGAGAAATTCTGCTTGAGATTGAGGCTTCCGAAACGTGGAATGCTGGCCTCTGATGTGCGCGATGTGAAGCACGTGCGCGCCTACGCTGGAGGGACGAGAACACCCAACTGCCCCTGATATGATTCCCCTGGGGATAATGAAGTTCAGGGTCCAGGGGGTGAATAAACGTTTTCCCCGAGATCTCAGCAGAATGATGAAGATGACAACGATGATGACGAAGAAAACTATCCTGAACGCTCCACTGGAATCCTTAGGAATTCCGTAGGAATCCTTCGGACATCCATAAGATTCCTTAGGAAATCCTGAGGACTCCTCAGGAAATCCATAGAAGTCCTTAAGGAAGACACACGGGATAAACAAAGTTCGTGGCGGGACCGCAAGGAGGAGGGAGAAGATTCCTTAGGAAATTCATGGGATGCCTTAGGACATACATAGGACTCCTTAGGCAATATATAGAAATCCTTACGTCATCTATCGGATTCCTTAGGAATGCTTGATACTCAACATCAAAAGATAGTAACTTCGAACCTTTCCCCCGCGATAACCAAATTCGGCCTTGCCGCGACACAGCGGGGGGACCAGGGACGTAATGAAATAAGAGGCGCCATGAAATGAAAAGAGGCGCCATGAAACAATAAGAAGAGGTGCCATGACATAAGAAGAGGCGCCATGACATTAAATAATATGAAGAGGCCCCCGCCATGATATCCCCCCCTAGTCATCACCCCCCTCTTTGCCGCCCCCGACTAGAGGGACGTGCCCGACTTAAGCCCAGACGGCTCCAGAGCTCTGGCGGGCGGCTCGAGGCGAGGCGCAGCAGGTGGGCGAGCCGCGCGGGGGCCTCCGGGCCCGCTCCTCGATCTCGATGAGCTCGGAGATGTACCTCTCCTCGAAGTCCGCCCACGCCTCTGGGGCCGCCCCGGCGCCCGTGCGGCCCTCCTCCTCCCTTCCTCCCCTCCTCCTCCTCCTCCGCCTCCTCCTCCTCCGCCCTCCTCCTCCTCCTCCTCCTCCTCCTCCCTTCCTCCTCTTCCTCCTCCTCCTCCTCCGCCCTCCTCCTCCTCCCTTCTTCTTCCTCCTCCTCCTCCTCCTCCTCCTCCTCCTCCTCCTCCTCCTCCTCCTCCGCGCGAGGGCCAATCAGTAATCCGGGGCCGCCCTGGCGCCCGTGCGGCACCGCGGTCGTCGTCGTCGTCGTCGTCGTCGTCGACGTCGTCGTCGTCGTGATCGTCGTCGTCGTACTCCATCGACGCTGCTCGACGGGGGGGGGAACCACTTTGCAGCCGCTTTGGCCTAGGTGGCTCATAAATCGAGATGGGATCACCTCGGGTCACTCAGGATGAGAGGGCGCACCCAGACTGGCCGTGACATGCAGTTGCCAGTCCCCTTCCAATAGGGGGGAACCGCCGAGAGATGTCGTTAGCAAGAATCCTGCAGGAACCTGCGGGAGTCCTCAGGATGCGTTCAAGGACCATCCTGCGTTCCTCAAGGATCCTCAGGACTCCGCAGCAGGAGCCCTGAATCTGAATACTTCGAGGATCTTTCAAGCATCCTCCAGGACTCTTTCAGGAATCCTCAAGAATCCGTCTCTAGACATCCAGAACTATCCTGCAGGCATCCTGCAAGAATCTTCAGGAATCTGGCAGGGATCCTTCAGGAATCCTTTTGAAATCCTCAGGAGTCTTCGGGAACCTTTAGGAGACCTTCGGAATCCTCAAGAATCCTTCAGCGATCCTGGAAGGATCCGATTGGGATCCGAGT